TAAATACATGCATGCAAAAAAAATTTTTTTTTTTTTTTAAACACAAGCAACAAAATTATTTCCTTAAAGTGACCATTTATCCTTTTTCTGATTGCAAAAACATCATTTTTAATGCATCACATCATGAACAAGATTCTCAAAGCTCAAATCACCTGCTGTCATTGACTTTGAGAGCCAAGCAACCAGAGTCATTCATTTTCAATGTCAGTGTCACTGGGGCTTTATAATGTTGGTGCTGTTATGAAAATAGAAATATTACTTTGTTTTTCAAATGCAATGCAAACGATCTGAATGCAGTAGACTTTAGAGTTCTACCTCAGTAGTTCACGTACGGCTGCCAGACATACTGTACAAACTATATTCCAAGCCCTGCTTTACAAATGTGCTGCATGTTGACAGATGTGTGTTATTGCAGATGAATTTCTACAGATGCCAGATCTCCATGTCGATATTCTACACCTTCTGCTTGTCCTCATTAAGAGAGAGATGCATGACGGGAACTTCTGTCGGATCTGTTTACATGCAAATAAGTTTTTGTACAGTAACTTTCTCACTCTGTGAACTTCTAACTTTGGACAGGACCGCTGATGCGGGATGAGTGATGAATGCATTTGAACATATGTTTTTGTATTTAGTGCTTCAGATTCAGAGTTATTGAGTATTACTGAGCGAACCCAAATTATCTCTGCTTTCAAAGACTTGTGATTTTCCTTTAGGCTTTGAAGATCTTCAGTATACTTTTATATTTGGTATAAAATATCAGATACAGATTATGCTGTATCGGTCCCTCTGTAGCAGGTAGTTCATCACAGCAGCATAATTAATGCCCATAGAGCAGTGTGAGTGTTTGTACACCGGCGTCATCTGTACACTGCAGAGAGCTGCTGTTTGCATTACGAATCCCAGAGCTTGCAAATTCAGAGGCACAGTGAGGCACGTGGGACGGCCGCTGGGTGCCGGTGAGGGTACCGCTCGTGTGCTTAAACCCATCGAGGGTTATTTAATAATATCAATGATATCCAACTTCCCTCCTGAACAGGAATCTCTCATTGCGCTTAAAAACCATCGCATTATCCTATCAAAGATGGGATGGGAAAAATTTAGATGCACCACATCATTTTTTATACCATACAGTGGAGGGAAAAAATATTTTTATTAATTTATCATCCATCCATCCTTGTATAATTTTCCAGTACAAACATTCTATGCAGTAGACTTTAGAGTTCTACCTCAGTAGTTCACGTACGGCTGCCAGACATACTGTACAAACTATATTCCAAGCCCTGCTTTACAAATGTGCTGCATGTTGACAGATGTGTGTTATTGCAGATGAATTTCTACAGATGCCAGATCTCCATGTCGATATTCTACACCTTCTGCTTGTCCTCATTAAGAGAGAGATGCATGACGGGAACTTCTGTCGGATCTGTTTACATGCAAAGAAGTTTTTGTACAGTAACTTTCTCACTCTGTGAACTTCTAACTTTGGACAGGACCGCTGATGCGGGATGAGTGATGAATGCATTTGAACATATGTTTTTGTATTTAGTGCTTCAGATTCAGAGTTATTGAGTATTACTGAGCGAACCCAAATTATCTCTGCTTTCAAAGACTTGTGATTTTCCTTTAGGCTTTGAAGATCTTCAGTATACTTTTATATTTGGTTTATGTTGTATTTATGATGTTACAATTAAAGCATGTAATAGTTTGACATACTGTTAAAAAAAAAATTTTGAAGTTGAAATTGGAGAATGCTTTATAAGAAAATACTTCAGTCTTTCTCCTTCAAAATTGCATGTTTGCCCTGCTGTTTTATTGTAATTGTTTGTGGAAATTTACTGGGATTTTTTTTTTTCAGTATACTACATTTTATTTAGACTAAAGTTGTAAGTTTTAGTTAACGGTTAGTATTATTACATGTTTATCTAAACTGTTCGTGTTAGCATAAAAAAAAAATGCAAAAATGTAAAAGTGTTTACATGCACTTTTACAAGTTGTTTGAACTGAAATGTCATCTTTGATCAAATAAATGCGGCCTTGATGAGCATAAGAGACTTTTTTTTTTTTAATCTTTGAAAATGTTATTAAATGCAATGTTTTCTATTGCAAATGCATTATTGTAAACAAAGTTCTTGGTCACTAAATAGACCTACACTGGCACAGAAATGACACACTTCAGCATTAAACGTTTGATGTGTTTCAGAGTGAGTCTCAGGTGAAGTGTAAATGTAAGTGTCTCATATCTGGAGAAATATTACACAGTCCCGTCACGTGTGCTGTCTGTACATCCATTCCCCCGTACTCAATCCCTTTCACTCTCTGTCTTTCTCTCACTTTATCCCTTCCTTCTCCAAATAAAAGCGCAGGTGACTGCTACAGCGGTGCATTGGGGGGGATCCGTTAATTCTTTGTGCTCTTTGTGTTTTGGCCTAATGAAGACTAATGAATATATAAAACCTCCACAGCGCAGGAGGAGAGACTGGAATACATAAAGAGATGAAACTACACACCTCATGATGCAGAAACCACGACCTGTGGAGGATAAACCGCCGGATGAGACCATCTCTGAGACCCGTCCTGCATGAACACACAGATGACCTGCTACTTGACCTGGGAATGGAATACTACTGTCAAGGCCACGATATACTTCCAGCAAAGTTCTTGCTCATTCTTTGTTTTTCATTCTTAGGGGAAAAAATATATCATGAAAATAAAACATGAAATCGAAAATGTCACAATTATCTCTTTAGCACTTTATACTAAATTTCATTTCAGAGCAGCTTCAAGTTTTGATGTTGCA